AGGATGGTACTTCCTGAAAAATGTTTACCACATATTGCACAACTGTAAGGTTTCTCACCAGTGTGTATTCTTTGATGATCTTTTAAAACACTGTTTCTTCTAAATTGTTTTCCACAAACTGTACAACTGTAAGGTTTTTCACCCGTGTGTATTCCTTGATGTATTTTAAGGTACTCTTTGCACCAAAGTGTTTGCCACACACTAAACAACTGTAGGGTTTCTCCCCTGCATGTTTTCTTAGATGATTTCTTAATGCATCCTTTGACATAAAATGTTTTTCACACACTGCACAACTATAAGGTTTCTCCCCAGTATGTATTCTTTGATGATTTTTTAAGATGGTACTTGCTGAAAAATGTTTACCACATATTGCACAACTGTAAGGTTTCTCACCAGTGTGTATTCTTTGATGTTCTTTTAAATCACCGTTTCTTCTAAATTGTTTTCCACAAATTGTACAACTGTAAGGTTTTTCACCCGTGTGAATTCCTTGATGTGATTTTAAGGTACTCTTTGTACCAAAGTATTTTCCACACACTAAACAACTGTATGGTTTCTCCCCTGTGTGCATTCTTAGATGTATTTTGAAAATACTCATTGTTTCAAATTGTTTTTCACATACTGAACAACTGTAAGGCTTTTCCATAATATGTCTTCTTTCATGCCCTCTTAATTCACTATTTGTTCTAAATTGTTTTTCACATACTGAACAACTGTAAGGTTTCTCCCCACTGTGTATTCTTTGATGTTCTTTTACATCACTGTTTCTTCTAAATTGTTTTCCACAAACTGTACAACTGTAAGGTTTTTCACCGGTGTGGATTCCTTGATGTGATTTTAAGGTACCCTTTGTACCAAAGTGTTTTCCACACACTGAACAACTGTAAGGTTTCTCCCCAGTGTGTATTCTTTGATGTTCTTTTAAATCACCGTTTCTTCTAAATTGTTTTCCACAAACTGTACAACTGTAAGGTTTTTCACTCGTGTGTATTCCTTGGTGTGATTTGAAGTTACTCTTTGAACCAAAGTGTTTTAAATAAACTGTAAAATGATACGGTTTCTCTCCAGATTGTATCCTCTGTTCTTGTGTTAGGTTATCCACTGTTCCAAATTCTTTTCCACTGATTACACAACTATATGTTTTACCATTACACTGAGGTATATTAAATTTGTTTAGGTTATTTCCATTTAAAGTTGATTCTCCATATATACCACTGTTTAGTTTTGGGGAATTTCTAACTTCTATAAAGTAATCTTCTTGTTTTATAACATGATTACCAGAACACTGACTCCCACAGCAGGTCTTAATATCTAAAATAGATACAAATGATGCCTCATCATAGTTAATAACATCTTTGATGAACTTCTAAGTATATTTAATGTTCTAATATGATCAATATGAGTTCCAATATGAAAATATTAAAGCTAAAAACTAGTTATGATGCAGTTTTGGTAGTTTTAAATTTAATAGAAAGTTTTATACTTTACTCAGAATAGCATTAAAAACAAACTGTAGGTAACATTACATTTACAAAAGAGGTTTTTAGTAGATAAAGTAAGATCACCTGAAGAAATATGATAGTAAAGTGTATCAACAATCAATGTACTTTTAGCTAGTATCTTTATAGATTACCTTTTAGAAAGATTTTCTTACTTGAAGTGGTCAATTTTTATCAAATATTCTAATGTCAAGTTTCAGACAATACTAAAATATTTATCAATATATTATTTTTCTTTATTTTTATCAAGTTTAG